CTTAGTATATATATATATATATATATATATATATGTTTCACATTAGCATCTTCCCTTTATAATTGATTGAAATCCATCCATCAAAAAATTGTTTGCAAACAGACAGCCTTCTACTTACTTTAGCCATTCCATCCAATCATTGGAATTTCTCATATTTCATCGTTATTTTTCAAATACAAACATATGTGAATAAAAATGTGTATATGCATACATGCACATATGCACGTGTATACGTGTACAAACGTACACGTACCATCTGGTTAAAGGCATCATCTGATTTTTCAATATTTCTTCTTCCACCTTTAATTCTTGTGTGATGTTTTTTTTTTTTACGTTTACATTAAACTTCTTCACGTTATATTAAAACACATAAACACACTTCCAAACTCACACATACACACACACGACACGTATACACGTACATGCATATACACACATATGCATACTGAACACATATATATAAAGATACAGAGGACAAGTAACATACATATGTACGCATACAGTAACGAAATTTACGTGTACGTATACGTGTACGTATGTTGTGCGATTATTATTGTATTATTATTTTTTAACTAGTTTTATTTTATTATCAATATCCGGTATTATTTTAACCATTTTTTAATGATCAATTGGTTATTGAAAAATCGTTATTGATAGTAATAGAATACTTAATTATTTAACATTATACAATTAATGTTAAATTAAACATAGTTAATAAATTCGTTTGTTTACTTTTATCGTTCATTTTATTGAAAATTTTGCTTTCAACAATTATTCGAAATTTTTTTTGCATTTTTTTAAAACATATTTTTGACATTAATGTTAAAAATTTTTAAATTTAATAAATTTGTGACATGAATAATTGATCGATGATTCATTTTTTCTGTTCTTTTTCGTTATTCATTTACTTTTTTTTAAAAACATTACATTTCCACATTTCGTGTATATTATTGTATATTTAATTATTCCAATTATATTTTATTTTTCGCGTATATTATTATATGAAATCATCATTTTATCACTGTTATTTCATTTCTTTTTATTGTTTTAATGATTTTAATAATTTATATGACTTTCAAGTTGTTAGCTAGATTTAAATATAAAATAAAACGAGTAAAACTCAATGATCCATTTTATTAATGTTAGCCTTAGATTTACTGAAAAATTCCTAAGTGCTAATGGTCAAAAGCGCGCTAGTATGTTTAATTACTAGCATTTACGATGTCATTTGTCATATTTGTTCCTTTTAAAATGTCCAACATTTAAATATTATTAAATACAGCACGATTGGTCCAAAAACTAATATTCATCCACCTAATTAACATTCGACTAATTAGTATTCATTTAACTAATTAATTAATTCATTTAACTAATAAAAAAATATAAGGAGGCATCATAATGAAAGTAAACAATTAATTAATCAGTATATAAACTATCATAATGAATAGAAAGGCAACTAATTAATCGATATATGAAATATCACAATG